GCTTATGGACCAACTGATGCAGTCAGGACACCCTCTTGTTGTTGTGCAGGCTTATGGACCAACTGATGCAGTCAGGACACTCTCTTGTTGTTGTGTGGAGATATGAACATGCTTGCATGATACACTGTTCTTTCACTCCAAAAAGCATTTTAAAACCGAGCATCGTAAAGACACAGCTATTTATAGGGAGCCAATTATAAAGCGGTATGATTGTTCTTCCTACTAAACAGTGCCTAAAAAGCAGAGAGCAATACTTACTGAAGTAATATCCCCAAGGTTATCCTGCCTTTGTGTCTACGAGCTGCATCTGAACATTTGCAGACATGGCACCTCCATAGCCTCCCTTAGACTGCATTTGATTCTGAATTGAGCTGACCTGGGGACAGAAGGGTAAAGGAGGCACAGAAAACAAGAAAGGCAGTTAGCAAACAGTGGTGTTTTTCTTCCTTCTAATTTTATTTCTTGTTTAGGCTTTCAAGTTCTCCTTTACCATTAAAGCTACGTTACTTTCACATGAGAACACGGGCCGACGTAAGCTTGCTGGAATTTTCACTTCTGCAGGCAGCTCAGCAGGAGAGAAGGAAGAGCTGGTGCTGAGGCAGAGGTTTTTCCACTCTCTCAAAGAAAACTGGCTGATCCAGGCTTCCAATGGCCCTCTTGATTACTCAATAAAAAAATAATCAAATCTGGTACTAGTATCCAAATCCACTTCATCTTACAAGCTATCATTTAACTTGTTCTATGCAAAAATTTTTTGTCAGGTGTGATAAATTAGAGAAGTTGACACCATTACATTAAAAACAAAATAGACAGCTTACAAAATATCTGGATGGTACCTGCACTGTATGGCTAACTTCTGATAATTTTTAGGATTTTCCAAACCAAAAAGGAGCTTTTGAGCTTTTTGTTTATCTATTAATGTAATAGCATATACTTTCTTCTTTAATTGCTACTATACCATTAAATGGCAGGTCATCTGTTGTTTAAATCATAATCTATCAATTTCTCTGGAAATAGGTTATCTGAAGGTATTTTTAGCCTGATGCAAATAAACACAAAAAGAACACTCTCCCGCCCTAATATCCCCAAGACATGCACATCCCTCTACAGTCTTTATCAATAAAATGGAAGGGAAGCCATAGTTCTTTCCTAATTGTGTTGCCTGAGTCAAAATAATCATCTCCAAGTGCCCGCAGAAAGACAACTCCAACCTAAAAGGTTTGGCCTTTTTTCTCTCCATCCCAGAGGATACACAACAAGTGAACAATGAGTGCAAAATAACATACTCATTCAAAGCTACAGCTTCTAAAATGGAACTTGCAGTAAAGTCTATGTCTGCAGGGCATCACTTGCAATTATTACATGTATAATCCTTCATAGAGCTCAAAACATCACTAGAAAAGCTGCATTAAAACAGCACTGGAGAAGTATTTCAATGTAGCTCGCACAATATTTTCCCTGTCTACAAAGAAACAAAAATAAGTATATTATTTTCCACAGCAAAGCAAAACACAGGCACACACACAAAATGAATCAGCACGACCCTTTCTTACACACTGCTTTTCAAACAAGTTAAAAAAAAAAAAAGTCTGTTTTAGGGTCTTTATCTTCAACAGTATGGCATATTGCAGTGCTATGCAAAAGATCTGATTTTTATGTATTTAAAGCAGGGCAATGTTAAACTGTTTACTGCCTTGGTACTTTGCTCAAATAAGGGATACAGTTGCAGCAAAGCAATTCTACATTCACATTTTTCTTCAGGTAAAAGTGTTCAGAGGCAATATTCTAGTAGTTCTGGCATCAGAGGCTATAAAGTCAGGAAGCATGGAAATGTGCAACCACACTCATGGGGCTGTGATTAAGAACTTTCACATCTCACCAAACTGGTCATTTTCTCCATCAAGGATCTTCTGTTGCTCATTAGAACAAAAGGAGTTTGAATTCAGTATTTTTTTTCCTCAGAAAATAATTAACCTACATGCAAACATATTCACTAGAAAGAATTGAGGATGGCATTAATCTCATCTGAACGAACCCTGCCTCCAGTGAAAAACAGGCAGCAAAATATCTCTAGGCCACGCCACCTACCAGCCTGAAAACTTGCCTACATGACTTTAACATTTTGAAGAACAGGAAATCAACACAGCTTGCAAAGCTAAAGTGTAAATTTTTATGAATACTTCTTCTAAAGGTTAGAATAATTTCTCTGGTAACTGAGTCACACATATAGGTGTTCGTGTTAGTGGGTAAGGAAGTATCAGTCTAAAATGCAGAGGCTGTTACACCTAAAGCAAAGAGAAGGCAGCAATTTGAACAGCTTGGTGGCTGCTTTGTATATGAAGACTTACATAGGAGACATACAATGTTAAAAACACTGAGTAAAAGGCAGCCCTAACAATCCCAGGCTTATAAAGTAGTATTCTTTTTGCTGCACCCTCCTTTTGAGGCAGCCTGAGTTACAAGAACAAGAACCATGAAATGAAACTATTTTTTTTCTTTCCCAAAGATGCGATTCCCTTCCTTTGATGATACATAACAGCAAGGTTCTTGCTCTAAATTAAGTCTAATTTACTTAAAGATTTTGGAAGGAGAAAAGCATTGCACCAATTAAAGATCATACAGTCTGTTGTGCTGCTTATCCATCTCATTAGTTTCCTTCTTTACATCCCTTTTAGAATTAGGAAATAGCACAGATGGTCCTTGGGAATGAAAACAAGGGAAAACTAGGAAAAGGACAGAATACATGAAAGTACAGACTACTGAGGAATACAGAATGATAGAATCATAGAATTGTTTAGTTTGGAAAGAATAATAATAAGGGCTTCTACAGGTATGTGACTCAAAAAAGGAAGGTTAAAAAAAGTGTACCCCTCTTGATAAGCAAGCTAGTAACAAGAGATGAGGACAAGGCTGAGGTTCTCAATACCTTTTTCCCCTTAGTCTTTAATGGCAACATATCTCCTCACAGCTCCCAAGCTGAAGGAGATAGTCAAAGTCTCTCCCACTGCAAATGAAGATCAAGTTCGTGAACACCTGAGGAACTTGAACATACCCAAGTCTATGGGACCTGATGAGGTGCATCCCAGAGTCCTGAGGGAATTAGCTGATGTATTGTCAAGCCACCCTTCACTATATTCGAAAAGTCATGGGTCAGGTAAAGTCTCTGGGGATGCGAAGAAAGAAAGCATTACACCCATCTTTAAAAAGGGTAAAAAGGAAGACCCTGGCAACTACCGACCTGTCAGCCTCACCTCCGTGCCTGGGAAGATCACTGAACAGATCCTCCTTGAGGCTCTGTTAAGGCACATGGAGGACAAGGAGGTGATTCAAGACAGCCAACATTGTTTTACCATGGGCAAGTCCTGCCTAAACAATCTAGGCTTTCTACAACGGAGTGGCTGCATCAATGGACAACGGAAGAGCAATGGATCAAGTGCACCCTCAGCAAGTTTGCAGATGACACCAAGCTGAGTGGTGCAGTCAATATGCCAAAGGGACAGGATGTCCTCCAGAGGGACCTGGACAAGCTGGAGAAGTGGGTCCATATGAACTTCAAGGGGTTCAACAAGGCCAAGTGTAAGGTCCTGCACCTAGGTTGGGGCAATCTTCATTATCAGTACAGGTTGAGGGATAATGTGCTGGAGAGCAGCCCTGCAGAGAGGGAAATGGGCATACTCGTGGATGAAAAGCTGGACATGAGCCAACAATGCATGCTTGCAGCTCAGAAGGCCAATTAATTCCCGGACTTCATCAAAAGAAGCACGGCCAACAGGTTGAGAGAGGTGATTCTGCCCCTCTGCTCTGGTGAGACCTCACCCAGAGTACTGCATCCAGCTCCAGAGCCTTCAACACAAGAAGAACACGGAGCTGCTGGAGCATGTCCAGAGGAGTGCCATAGAAATGATCAAAGGGCTGGAGCACCTCTCCTAAAAGGACAGGCTCAGAGAGATGGGGTTGTTCAGCCTCGAGAAGAGAAGGCTCTGGAGAGACTTTATAGCAGTCTTTCAGTACCTGAAGGGGCCTACAGGAAAGCTGGAGAGGACTGTTGACAAAGGTGTGTAGTGACAGGACGAGGGACAATGGTTTAAAACTAGAGCAGGGTAGATTTAGATTAGATGTTGGAAAAAAGTTCTTTACTATGAAGGTGGTGAAACACTGGAATGGGTTGCCCAGAGAGACGGTGGAGGCTCCATCCCTGGAGACATTTCAGGTCAGGCTTGATGGGGCTCTGAGCAACCTGATCTAGTTAAAGATGTCCCTGCTCACTGCAGAGGGGTCTGACTAGATGACGTTTACAGGTCCATTCCAGCCCAACACATTCTACAATTCTACAATTCTGTGATTCTATGTTCTGTGATCAGTCCAACCATTAATCTAGCAATGCCAAGCTCACCACTAAACTAGGCCCCTAAGCACCACATCTACTTGACTTTAAGTAACCCCAAGGATGGTGACTCAACTACTTTCCTGGGCAGCCAAGGCTTGAGAAATTTCAGGCAGAGAAATTTCTCCTAATATCCAGTCCAAACCTCCCCTGGCAAAACTCAAGGCCATTTTCTCTTGTCCTACCGCTTGTTATATGGGAGAAGAGACAAAGCTCCACCTCATTACTGCCTCCTTTCAGGTAACTGTAGAGAGCAATAAGGTCTCCCCTCAGCCATCTTTTCTCCAGGCTGAAAAACCCCAGCTCCCCCAGCCGCTCCACATCAGACTTGTTCTCCAAACCCTTCATCAGCTTTGTTGCCCTTCTTTGGACATGCTCCAGCACCTCCATGTCTTTCTTGCAGCGAGACATCCAAAACTGAACACAGGATTCAAGATGTAGCCTCACTAGTGACAAGTACAGGGGGACCATCACTTCCCTGGCTCTGCTGGCAACACTATTTGTTATACAGGCCAGGATGCTGTTGGCTTTCTTGGCCACCCGGGCACACTGCTGGCTCATGTTCAGCTGGCTGTCCACCAACACACCCAGGTACTTTTCCACCAGATAGCTCTTCAGCCACTCCTCCCCAAGTCTGTAGCGTTGCCTGAGGTTGTGGTAACCCAAGTGCTGGACCCAGCACCTGGCCTTGTTGAACATCATACAACCAGCTTTGGCCCATTGATCCAGCCTGGCCAGATCTCTCTGCAGAGTCTTCCTATCCTCAAGCAGATCAACATTCCTGCCTAATTTGGTGTCGTGCAAACTTACTGAGGGTGCACCAGATTCTCTCACCTGCATCACAGAACTGGTTCCAGTACTGAGCCCTGGGGAACACCACTTGTGACTGGCCACCAACAGGATTTAACTTCATTCACCATCACTCTTTTGGGCTGCCCTTCCAGCCAGTTTTTTAGCCAGTAAAGAGTCTGCATGTCCAAGCCATAACCAGCCAGGCTGACAGATCTGTAGTTGGCCAGAAACTACTTCCAGCCTTCTTGTTGATGAGTGTCATATTTGCTAACCTCCAGTCCACTGGGACCTCCCTGGTTAGCCAGGACTGCTGACTGACAGGAAGTGGCTTGGTGAGCACTTCTGCCAGCTCCCTCAGTACCCCTGAGTGGATCCCATCCAGTCCCATAGACTTGTGTGTCTGCGTGGAGCAGGAGGTCACTGATCATTTCCCCTTGGATTATGGGCACTTCATTCTGTTCCCCATCTCTGTCTTCCAGCTCAGAGCGTTTGTTAGTTGAAGAAAAACTGTCTTACTATTAAATACTGATGCAAAGAAGGCATTAAGTACCTTAGCCTTTTCCTCATCCTTTGTCACTATGTTTCCTTCTCCATCCAACAAAGGATGGAGATTCTCCTTAGTCCTCCTTCCGTTGATAATGTATTTATGGAAACATTTTTTATTCTCTTTTACAGCAGTATCCAGATTAAGTTCTAGTTGGACTTTAGCCCTTCTAATTTTCTCCCTGCATAACCTCATGACATCCTTGTAGTCCTCCTGAGTTCCCTCCTAACCATTCCTCCAAAGGTCATAAAATCTCCTTCTTTTTCCAGGAACCTCCTGGGCTGTTTTCTCTCTGCCATATTATACTTCCAGTAGACACCTGGTAAGTCGAAGTTGCCAAGGAGAACAAAGGCTAGAGATCATGGGACTTTCCCCAGCTTCTTATAAACTATTATTTCTGCTTCTTCATCTTGGTTAGGTGGTCTATAAGAGACTCCTGCCATAGCTTCAGACAGTCAAGATGCTCCCTAATATATGGGGCTATGCCACTGCCTCTCCTTCCTTGCCCATTCCTTCTGAAGACTTTATAGCCATCCAGTGCAGCACTCCAGTTGTGTGAGTCACCTCACTATGTTTCCATAATGGCAACTATACCCCAGTGTTCCCACTGCGTAATTGCTTCCGGCCCCTCCTATTTGTGGCCCATTCCACATGCATCGGTGTAGATGCAATTCAGTTGGGCTACTGGTCCCACCACCTTTTTGTAGGGACATTACCATTCTCAGGTGCTTCCATAGATTCTAACACAACAATTAAACCTGCATCTTTGCTGCCACAAGAATCTCCTTCTTTCACCTCTACTGAGACTGCACACTGAAGCACTGTGCTAGCACAGCATCCTCCTTAGGTTTATCCCTAGTGAACCTGGGTTTATCCCTTTCCCCCTTCAAATCTAGTTTGATGCTCTTTCAACGAGCCCTGCTAAGTCCTATGCTAACCTCCTTTTCCTCCTTTGTGACAGACATATCCTGTCTGTTGTCAGCAGGCCTGGTGTTGTGTAAACTGACCTGTGATAAAAAACCCCAAATTCTCCCTGTGACACCAGGCTCAGAGCCAGGTATTGATCTGCTGGCTCTTCCTCCTACACAGCAGAAGGAGAAAGTAAGAGATTTCTCCATGGAATATAAAGGTAAATTAAGAAAGAAAGTGATGGGAATGAGAAAGAAACAGTTCACAGAGGGGTCCTACTGTTTAAGCATAACTGTGACAAAGAGTAAGGGACTTTGCAGAGCAGGCAAACAAAAAAGCAAAATATTTCAGTAGTCAGACAACTACCGTACTCAGAATTGTAAGGATATATAATGAAGAGCAATGCTGATGAAAAAAGGCACAGAGCAGACAGTGAATGAACCACCAAATTTATATGGTAAAAGCTAATGAGACTGCAGGACATCCTCCCACGGTACTCAGAAGAAAGAAGGAGCATAATATCCATAGGCAGCAGAAAAACATGTGGAGGTTAAAACCGTAATCTTGGAATTTACACTGCAAAGAATAAACAAGGAGACTGGACGCAGTATTACCACAGTATGTCACCACAGAAGAGGCAGGAAAATAAGCAGCGTGAAAAAGCAGAGATCTGTGCTTCTGGAAAGAGAGAGTGGGGAAAAAAGGAATTTATTTTTTTTTGTCTACAGACTCTTCCCACCTCGGAAAAAAAATTCACTTTGGCCACTGATGCAGCATGTTATCCAAATGAAAACTGAGAAAAAGAGATAGTTACAAGCACTGAAAATGAAAAAAATCTCTATAAAGACACAGTAATGACTACCTGCTATATGGATATTAATCTGATATTACGCAAGGCAAAGATGAGGGCAAGCAGAGGGAAAGCCTGAGGTGAAAGAGCAAAGCTTCAGGCAACCACTACAAACCTCACGAGGCAGCTCAGCTGTGAGAATGTGGAAGGTTCTCACAGGAGAGGCAACAAACATGTAAAGAGCAAAAAGCCATACTTGAAAGTAAGTAAGCTGCTTACTTTATTATTTCAATTTATGTCTCTAAATATTAATGTGGTATGTTGCATTAAATAAGTAAATAGCTTTAACTGAATTTTATCAAGTTGAAGCGGCATTTGTCTATTTCACTTACTTACACATGTTTTAACACATATCATTTCCAACTCACTATGTTGTTTCTGGGAAAGTGTAGTATATTGTTTGATATGTCAGATTTTTTAGCTCTGCCCTTCCCCAATACATACTGAGTTACAAAAGTTTTTGTCTGATCTCAATAAAGGACAAACTAGTCAAAACTACAAATGACCTCACTTCCCTACATCTCTTTCCTTTAAAATTCTGCTCTCTATTCTGGTACTTCTGAAGCATTCTTTCTTCTCCTTTGTCAAGAAGTACTTTTCATCATTTTCATCTGAAAGTCTGAAAGCTTTTTTTTTTTCCTTTAAAAAGGATTATTAAGGTCAAGATGTATTTTTCATTATTATCTACATACAACACTTTTCTAGATGGCATAGTATTGACCTTAAAAACAGACTGACATTTCACATAAATATGAAGCTGTTCAAAATACATCTACCCTCACGAGCTGATTTTCAGTATCTATCTTAGCCTCCATTTTTCAGTCTCCAAGAGAGAAAAATATTTGTTGCTCCTTTCTTCTACAGGAAGACACAAAACCGTGCTGTGACACTGTTGTTTGCTCTGTGAATAATTCAGTCCAAACATGGCTACAGAGTATGGAAAACCGTCAACAAGGATATAAAAAAAATATTTATGTGCATCATAAACTAAGGCAAGTTAGAGTTCTACTTGAACTATATATAAAATAGCTTAAAACATTTAAGGTAAGAAATTAGTCAGTTGTAAGACACTTTAAAAAAATATTTTCTAAAACTCTAGTATATTTTGAAATATTTGTCTATTTTAGTTCGTACATGCCATCAGAATGATTTTTAAAAAATTATTCTACACATAGCCTGTTAAATATATACAGCATTTACTGGGTATTGTCAATAAATATAAGAATTTTAAAAATTGTATTCCATAATCTTGAATGAAGGTGTTTAGGACTTAGAAGTAAGATATTAGCAGGTTGTTCGCTGAGATTATTTTTTACAGTTGAAAATCTCATTTTTCAGATATAATATGCGTAAAAAGTATTTGTATTCTGTCTAAAATTAAATTTCTTTCTCTGCTCATGCTTACCGAATTCATTCCGCTGAACAGGTCCCCCGATCCTACATGAGCTGTGTGAACAAAGTTCGTTGGCTCCCCAATCATGCTTCGGTCAATCCGCCGTCGTCTTTTCTGAAAGGAAGGCAAAAATCTAACTGTGAATCACTGAAAACGCAAAAAAACCATGGGTCATAAATACAGAAGTTAACTGCCCACAGCACATTTAATACATTGTAAAATTTTTTTCATAGAGTCAAAAAGCAGAGTCCAAATTTCCAGGTTAACCAACACATTGCTGATACTTATCCTTTGCTCTTACTTGGAGGATCTATAGCAGATCATTAGACCATCACTGATACCACTCCTAACGTTTAGGCCAACAAAACATTTGTATATAATCTTACTACATTCCATGGCTTATTAACCAATGTTTGCAACGTTTCATACAGTAACTTCTGCCTATATTTGTACTTAAATTATGATGCGACAGATCAGATTTGAGGTTTAGTCATTCAAAACAAGAATTAAGGATCAAAGAGCATTAGCATCATCTATGAAACTGCTAACTTACAATATTTCTGATTGGCATGCCATGAGAATTATGTCACTATTTGCAGTATACTTCATGGTGATGCTCAGAATGCCTTGAGTTTGATCAGGGTTCATCACTGACACACACTTGGATGACTTCCAGCCTGCGTGGTTGTAGAGTGTGAGCTGAAGGGGTGCAGTGTGATGGTAAGGCAGGATGCCAGATTAAGCACTCCGATTCCTGGGCTGTGAGACAGGAGGCAAGAATTGCTTAACCTCTCCCTCCCCCTCCTTCAGAGTCACGGCTTCATTTTTCTAGTCTAATAACACGCAAATGAAAAACTGAAGGCAGTAGGGACTTCCTCTAATTAAAGCTGCTTTGGTTGCCTGCCTCCAGCTAAGCATTGCATCTAAAGGAATAAAACAAAAAACACTTACTATCCTCATTTCTTAGGCCTGAGACAGGGAGCTTACAAAAAACAAACCATGCAGCATACAATCACTGTACACCCATATCCTGTATTTGAAAAAAACTCACCTCAACCAAACAACAGACATGAAGCATAGAGTAAGTATCTCGATTTAAGGTGTGTCATACAAAATACAGTGTAATGGATAAGAAACTCCTTGAGGACAATTAAAAGCCATCCATCATCTTAAAGTCCACTCAGTCTCATTTTTAAAAGGATCTCCGCTTCCAATCTGCCATGAGATCGTAAGACCACCCAGACTTGAGGCACGGAGGTACATGCCTCATGAGCGTGCTATTGAAACACAGCTACAGATTAAATCTTTATGAAACAGAACCCACAGCTATGAGAATACATCATGGGGTTTAGCTAGCAAGTACAAAACACATATAAACCTTTCTCATACCTTTTCCCTATTACAAAAACCAGATTTCATTAGGTTTTGGTACTGTACTGCACCATATTAATAGTTTGGGTGAGGAGAAATACATAAAACTCTTCCATAGAAACAGTAAAATTAAATGCCCTGATGTATGCCAAAAATTGAATTCCCTATTCCCAACAAATTTGACACAACTGACCAAATAGAACAATCATAGTTATAAAAACATCTTCAGGTAGTTTGAGGGCCTTCACACAGAAATTGTTTATGGAAATTAACTGAGATGTCTCAATTACAGGAAACATCAGAGTTCATAGACCCATAAACAGCCACACCAGAATCTACTGCCATATCTCACCAATGCATTAATATTTCATCTGGAAGTGAAGCTCACTTACACATACAGCAAATGATTTCTAAGTAATGCATGGTATCAGCCAGTAAAGCACACGTGACTAACTTGGGGGAGGAGACCCCACAACAGGTTTATGCTTCCACTGGATGGGAACTGCTAACCTGATGCGTTCAAGACAAAGAGCATCTCCATCTATGTGATGATTATTTTAAACGCACATTGCTGTACTTACACAACACAGTATGTAATAAGCTATGTCTCCAACAAAGAAAAAAGCTTCAGAGAGCTGTGTGAAACAGACCAGTTCAATTAAAAAACTTAAAATTGTTTCAGGTCTGCAGTACTTGCTTCTCTTCCCCTTGTAGCAAAGTAAGTCAGACTCAGATTCATTTCTATGTCTACAAAATACACCCATGATTTCTTGGGTTTAGTAGAGTTTTGAAATGCAGGGTTTTGATGAATAGAAAATGTAGACAATCTCAAAGCTTTGGGATTTTGTTTTTATTGTTTATTTGTTTTACAAATAACCAAAGTCTGTCTTTGGGCAACTCAATTTATTTTCCTCCTTTAGACCACTGGCATGCCAGTAACAGAATCAGAGTGGTGGATTTTGTGAACAACTGTAAATGATTCTATGCTAATCATCAGTCAAACAGTAACCTCAAAATAAAGTCAATCACCATCAACCTGGGTTTCTTATCTTAAGTTTCTTAACGGAGACCATCAGCTAGTTATATCCTGGCATGTGTCCACCGATGTGATCTCCTTGAAGCAATGAAACAGTATTTAAATGATCTGCTTTATTAGCATTCTGAAAACAAATAAAACATTTTTGAGGGGAAGTGTTTTGGGGTTTTGTTTTTTTGTTTGTTTGTTTGTGGTTTTTTTTTTTTTTCTGTAGGAGCATTCAGTTTGCATTTACATCAGTGTTTCAGCTTGCATCATGAGCATGCTTTTGAAGCAACTTTGCCAGTCCCCATTTACCATGCTTCATTTTTAATTTCACAGTAGTCTTGGAAAGGTACAAACTGGACTTTTTTTTGGTGAAGCTGAACTGGAAGATCAGCTGCTGCACTCCTGTTGCTAAGGGACATTGAGGCCAACAGACCAGGTGAGCCAGTCTGGCACAGACCAAAACCAACACCTAATGTACATCAGCTGTTCTGCTCCATTTAAACAGCTGCTTCTCCTGGGATGTGCCACTTCCACTGACACAACCTCTGCCAGAACCAAAACGATCAATTAGCATGGTTAGAAGGGACATTGGGAGTGCTGTAAAAAAAATCCCACACCTATCTTGAGGAATGTTACACAGGTGACAGGAGCAGGGCAGCATGCCTGGAAAAGCTACAGAGCTTCTACAGAAGACACCATGAACATTAGCTTTGCCAGAATTTTATTGCGAAGTTGTATTTTCCAAGGCCCTATATCTGTAAGAATACGTGTAACACCATTGTCCTGTAAATGGTAAGAACTGACATACAGATTGATTCTTCAGTAAATTTAGTATATTTATTTTGAAAGAAGGTGAGAAGCAGCACATTCGTCTCTTACTTAAGAAACGGAACGTAAAATTATACTCATTTACCTCTCTGTATCACTTGTGCTTGTTCTCAGTGGAAGTCACATGTCTGAGATGAGAATTCAGTGAAAATTAATTCCTGTTAGCCTGCACCCATGCCCCAAACTCTGCTTGATAACTTACCAGAGATAACCAGCCTTAGAATATACATACACCACTAACTACTGTAGCAATGAGATCTGGCTATAAAGGTGATCTACAAAACAACTACATGTTTATGATGATAAAGGTGTTTCTAACAGAACACATACACGTCCCAACTCCGGCAGCCTAACTGCAGTGAGAACCTATGCCTTGTATCTGTGTTTCTCATGGATATTTTCTTAGCAGGGGGGCAAGAAGAAAGCTCACATTATAATTAGCTAACTTGTCTGTTACCTTTCTTGTTAGTCTGGGTCAAGTTACTGAAACATTTAGTATCAATGGGCCAAAAAAAAAAAAAAGGTTTAAAATCTGAATTTTAGCATATGACTTCCCTGTGCCTCGCTCCTTGCTTTGTCCCAAGTCACTTCTCCCTTTACTAAGGGAAGAAGGGGTGGCAACGTTTAAAACAGAGGTTAGATGAGAGCAAAAGATTTGTAAACGCATCCTGGAAGTGGAATACAAATGGCATTATATAGTTTGTCCCCTTGTCAAAAATCTGCAGAATTTGGATTGCAAAGTACACAGCAGGTAATCTTTACATCACAAAAAGAATAAGTGTCTTTAAACAGAAGTAGAAGAAATGTAGGTTTGTTTGTAAAACGTTTGAGAGGAGTAGAAGCGGTCTGAGGACCCATCTCAGAAGCTTTGCTTTGAACATATACTAGATGCAGTGAAACTGGATCACATTTCAGTTACCATAGTAATGAAGTGAAGAATTAATGTCTCTTCTATTCTTAATCTGCCAGTGATGCCTTGCACCCACACAAGGTAGCACTTCTTTCAAAGTACAAGATCAGAATTCAAAATACCACCAGCAGTCACACCACAGAAATTATTTTAGCCCTTCACACTTCTTGAAACTTTTGAAGAACAGTTTTAAGCTTCTGTTTAAAAAATTTATACTAATTAGATCATGTATTCATGTTACAGATCCCTCTCCACCCTTCATGACAGGAACTCTCAAAAAAAGAAAAAGACACGCAAAGTAACATCAAGGTCCCCAACATATAAGAAAATATTTGAGTGATGTCACTTAGATCCTAGCTGGCTGATAATTATTTTTCTGGAAGCTGTTAAAAGTAGAAGTTGCAAGTGAAGTCAAACAGAATATCATACAAAGTATCCCAAAGTCAAGTAACAACCTACATATGCTGGGGATCGAAAGTAAAGAAATCAGTTTAGCTGGCAGAAAAGCAGGTTCTGCTAAATCTACACTAGGCTTTTTGAGACAGTTGCTAGATATATATCCCGAATCCAAGTGTGAGTGAAATACAAGTGACACACAGTATTTTCAAGGATGCTGCAACACAAAAGCTTGTATGGATCTGACTTGCAGAAGACTCCATCTCAGCCACGGTCACCTCTCAAATGGAAGCGGTATTACAGGTCCAGATCAGGAATGTGCTTTCTAAGAATAAAGCGATACGTGGTGGAAACTGAAGAAATTCAGAGGGGATGAAAAGCTACTGCCGTATTGTGCACATGTAGGAGTTTCTGAAAACAATGTTTCTTTATAAAAATTCCTACATATGGCATTTTTCTCCTACCACCTACCATTTAATTTATCTTCACTTCACACATGAGAAAAACTGCCAACTCTTTTTCCCCACACAGTAATGCTCTTTGCCCAGCTGTATGTTGTCCTGGCTTTTTATATCTTAGGTTTTC